AATTAACAAAAAATGAGATAATTATCATACCTACACGACTAGCCTCATAACATTATTCAACCTATACTTTTATATACCCCTCCCATCGTAACCTCCACCATACTACTCCCACTCACACCAGTATTATCCACCCTGGATTAGGAGTTTAGGTTAAAACAGACCCAAGAGCCTTTAAAGCCCTAAGTGCGTCATAGCCATGTAAGTCCTGCACACTTAACTCTAAGGACTGCAAGAATCTATCTTACATCAATTGATTGCGAATCAAACACGTTAATGAAGCTAAGTCCTGACTAGATTGGGGGGTTTCCATCCCACGAAATTTTAGTTAACAGCTAAATACCCTAATCAATCTACTTCCCCACCATCTAGGAATAAAAGGCGGGAGAAGCCCAGGCAGCGTTGAAGCTGTTTCTTTGAATTTGCAATTCACTGTGATATTTCACCACAGAGCTTGGCCAAAAGAGGGCTTCAACCTCTGTTCTTAGATTTCCAGTCTAATGCTTTACTCAGCCATTTTACTTATGTTCATAAACTGCCATTTTCTACTAACCGCAAAGATGTCGGCACTCTGTATCTCCTAACTGGTGCCTGAGCTGGCGTAGTAGGAACCGCCCTTAGACTTCTAATTCGAGCTGAACTTGGCCCACCCAGCACTCTACTAGGAGAGGATCAGATCTATAACGTAGTCGTCACTATCCGTGGTACCCTGGATGGGTACTCTGGCTCAAGCGATTGACTCTCCGAAGGCTAATAGTACGGAGGTGTTGAGTCTTGGGAGTTTTAGGGGGTTGAGAGGAGTAACACCTGTGGGTGGTCAGCAGCCCACCGACTCCGGAGTCGGGGCAAGGCTTGAGTGGTAAAAGGCTGTGAAGAAGCCTGCGAAGAAAAATACTTCTGAAATGATGAAGAGAATTCCTCCCTCCTGCAGGCCCTTTTGAGCAATAGGTGTGTGGTGGCCTTGAAACGTGCTTTCTCGGACAATATCTCGTCATCGGGGTGTATAGTTGGCAGGTTGGTTGTCAACCCTACAGTTAATAAGGATGTTGAGTTGAAGTGAAATCATATCGCCAACCCTGAAGTTACCAGGAGGGCTGAAAGAGCTCCCGCGAGTGGTCACGGGCTTGGGTTAACTATGTGGTATGCGTGGGTTTGGTGGCTCGTTAGGTGCTCTCCTGTAGGTGTAGACTTACTAACAGGGTAAAGACGTAGGCTTGAATAAGGGCCACAGCGAATTCGAGAATTGTTAGTAAGACACGAATAACGAAGGCAATGAGGGTGACAGAGGTGCTGACGTGTATTAGGGCTGGAGTAGCTCCTCATTAAGTGAATTAACAGGTGACCTGCTGCGAGTCGTAAGGTCAGAGCACCTGGTGGGATGAAGAGGCTTATAGTTGCAATGACCACAAGTATAGGGATTAGGGGAAGAGGTGTTCCCTGAGGTAGGAAGTGGGCTAAGGATGCTTTCGTCTCGTATCGGAACCCGGTGACCATGGGGCCGGCTCTTGGGGGCATGGATATTCCCTTGTACCTAGTAAGTGTCATGATCTATACGATGATAGGTTTCTGTGTCTGTATCTATTTCTGTATACATATAGGTGCATATGTATACTGGAGGTGTTGTTAAATATATTTAATACAGTGATATGCATTAGGTGACTATCAGTTCTCATTTAACTAGTTCTTCGTAAAGACCTGTTTCTGTTTTCAATTTGTACAGCCTGTTGTGACAGTGAGTCTTGTAGATTTTTTTCTCTCACTATATAAAACACTATTTACTTCAAAAAGTAATTTTTATTTTTTTTAAAGTTTATTTATTTTGAGAAGAGAGAGGGTGAGGAGGAGCAGAAAGAGAGAGAGAGAGAGAGAGAGAGAGAGAATCCCAAGAGGCCATGAGATCATGATCCGAGCCGAAATCGGGAGTCAGTCATTTAACCAACCGAGCCACTTGGGCGCCCCCAAGAAGTAATTTTTTTTTTTTTTTTTAAGATTGTGCACTACTGGTAGAAAGCTTGGAAAATACAGCAAAATAGCAGGAAAAATGTCATTATATCTGTCAATAATAAGCCCATCTTGTGACCTACTTTCTGCTTTTAATTTTTTTAATTTAATTTTTTGTTTTTATTTATTTTGAGAGAGAGAGAGAGAGCCAGTGGTGGAAGGGCAGAGAAAGAGAGGGAGAGAAAGTGAATCCCAAGCGGCTTCACACTGTCAGCACAGAGTCCAGTGCAAGGCTCCAGCCCGCAAACCGTGAGGTCATGACCTGAGCCAAAATCAAGAGTCAGACGCTTTCTTTAAAAATGAATTTTGAGGGGCGCCTGGGTGGCTCAGTCGGTTAAGCCTCTGACTTCGGCTCAGGTCATGATCTCACGGTTCATGAATCTGAGCCCCACGTCAGGCTCTGCGCTGACAGCTCAGAGCCTGGATGGAGCCTGCTTCGGATTCCGTGTCTGCCTCTCTCTGCTCCTCCCCTGCTCATGCTCTGTCTCTCTCTGTCTCTCAAAAAATGAATAAACATTAAAAAAATAAATAAAAACAAATGTTGATATAATTGAGTTCAAGGTTTACATAATTTGAGCGTATATAAACTTTTTCTTTGTTTATTTTAATATTACCTTTGTCATATTTCAGGAATCTTTTCCCCTCTCTACCCAGAACTGTTATTATAGTATTTATAGACATTATCTATACCATTTTAAAATTTACAGTTCTATCCCTTTAAGCTTCTTTAAAGCTCTCTGTCCTCTAAATGGTCCACAAAAGTTTTAGTGATTCCACAACGTAAGTTGGGAGAGTTTCTGGAATCAGAATGATCTGGATTCAGATTAATGTTCTGCCACCCCTTCCTAGTTATGTAGTAATGGGAACGTCTAAAAATCAATACCCTGGTTCTTTCATTGGAGAAATAAGAGTAGTGATAGTACCCACTTTGTAGTATACCCACTATTGAATATACGCACTCATTGTCAATCCAAGCAAATAACAGGCCAGGTACATAGCAGTCTCTTGACCAATGCTGGTTCAGAAAATAAGCTACTCTAATGAGGCCGACCTCTGTCTGCCCTCAGTGCAGAAGAACCCAAATTGCCAAGAGATTCCAAAACTACTCTACAGTTAGGAATCGGTTAGGCTTACCAGCCCGCCAGCTGTTGGACGAACCAGTCAGTAGTAGCTTAGATTCGAGCCGACTTCTGGGGAAGTTATCTGTGTGCTTTAGGATGTGGATAATGCTGAATAGCACAGATGATGCTTTCGGGTGGCTTCAAATCTCTAAAGCCAGTATCTAACCCCTTAAATACACACACCGGCCAATGAGCCCTTAAATACCCTTAAATACACATCACCGATAAGCACGCGATGCTCTTTTCAAAGGGAACATCATGGGAAAACACAACAGCATAGAACATATACAATTCCTAGGCCTACTTGAGGTCCAGATCAGGGCCAGGGCTAGAGCGAGGCGAGCAAGGTGACCTGGCCGGGGCGGGACATCCTAAATAAACAGAAGCAAGCTAAGCAGAGCTGCTCTGGCAAGAGCGGAGACGGTGTTTGTGGGTCGGACGCCCCAGTTACCTGCACCTTCCCCAGGCTGGGGCCTTGGACAAACCCTCAGGCAGGTCGGAGGCAGTTTACAAGCCCTTGCTCTAATCTGCTAATGGAATGGTCTTAATTGCCTCAAAGAGATTGACCCCTGGGATAGATCCCACGTACCTAAAACACGCGGATGTTTTGAATCAGTCGGAAGGAATGGTCAAGGCACTGATGGTGGAGGGACCTCACAGATGAGGGGGCTCACACTGAGCCGGAGCAGCCACAGGAGGGAAGCCTCGTGGAGGTTGGACGTAAGCCTGTGTTTGAGCGGCTGGGAGCCCGAGGTGTGGCAGGTAACGATGGACAGGACTTTCAGTGAGCTTTTCTGTTTTGTTCTTTCTTCACTTTTTTTTTTTTTCTGTTCCTGAGGCTACATGAAAAGTGGACTTGTTTTGGGGGCACCTGGGTGGCTCAGTCGGTTAAGCATCCTGCTCTCAATTTCTGCTCAGGTCACGATCTCACGGGTCATGAGATTGAGCCCCGAGTCAGGCTCTGCACTGGCAGTGCAGAGCCTGCTTGGGATTCTCTCTCTCCCTCTCTTCCTCTGCCCCTCCCCTGCTTGCGCTCTGACTCTCTCAAAATAAATACACATTAAAAAAAAAAAGTAAGGGCACCTGGGTGGCTCATTTGGTTACGCATTCAACTTCAGCTCATCTCATTGTTCGTGGGTTCGTGCAGACTGGGTGGAGCCTGCTTGGGATTCTCTCTCTCTGTCTAACCGCCCCCCCCCAACTGTCTCTCTAAGTAAATAAATAAGCTTAAAGAAATTAAAAAAAGTAAAGTCGTTTTTAAATCAAAGTTTTCTGAAAATTGAAATGTGAGGTAAGTGCTTGTGTCCCAAGGAGGCTTATTGATCCAATTGTATTTTCTTACCTTTTGGTTTATGGTTCACGTTTCGTTCTCTTCAACGGGTACTGATTAAACAGAATGTGCCGAGTGCTATCCTGTGTATGCGATGTGGTATTCGTGGAAACAAAACAGGCGTAATTCGTTGCTCATGGGCTCACATTTTAATAGGGAAGGGAATAATAACCAAATAACTACTGAAATAATTAAGAAAATACCTCGGTGATAAATGCAAAGAAGGAAAATGAGTTGACTGGCCATTCTAGATTGTATTTCTCTTAATTCCAATTCTTCTTGATAAAGGTTTTCCACCAATTAATAAAAGACAGCTGTGGTTATTATTATTGATTGTAGCAGTAGTTTCCCCCCTCCCCCTCACTCCCCCCAGGGCAGCCATGGACCCGGAGGTCCAAGGGTGCGAGAAGGAGAGGAATCCTACTGGATGAGAAAGAAAGTGAGCCCCAGGGGCCGTAGACGACAGACTTCACTGTTTCGTTCACCTGAGTGGATTCAGTTTGTGGTTCTTCCCGGCGTCCTCATTCGCACGGCAATCCTGATCATGTGAACATGACTTCGCTTTCGGAACAGGTGCCGAGGTCTCCTTCCGACACCGTGTGACCCAGATCAACCTGAGAAATGACAAGTGGGAAGTGTCCAAGGAAACAGGTTCCCCCGAGCGGTTTGACATCGTTGTCCTCACGATGCCGGTTCCGCAGATTCTGCAGCTCCGAGGTGACATCGCAAACTGTGAGTCCCGGCCTGCGCCGTTCGCGCGAGAGACTGGAGATCCTCTCACAGGGCATGAGTTCCGTTAAAACTGGCTTAGCAGAGGGTGTGTTATGGATTCTGTTGCTGTGCATGTTTTAAAAACTGATACCATGGACTTGCTCGTGACATTGGTCTAGGTCAGACTGACACCCAGAGGATTGTTCTTTAACCGGTTGGAGGTTGAACATTGTTGTTATTGCCCTTGCCTCTAAGAAGTAAATATTTTTGATGGACATGCATGTAGGTTGGCCTAAATGAAGAGCAGTCTCTTTGTGGCCCTCGTGGGGGAAAGGAAGGCTTTTCTGATTCAAGAATTGATTACGTCAACCTTCTGGCAAGCCTCGTCTTGGATGGCTCCTGAGTGCTACTGAGTTCTTCCCTGCTCGGGACTTGTCGGTTCACTTTTTCTTTACCTGGCTTCTCCCCTCCTTTTTTTTAAAAACAGGCTTGAGGTATAATTCACATACCATACAGTTCACTTATTTAGAGTGTACGCGTCAGTAGTATTTGGTATACTCCCCGATATATGCGACCGTTACCCCATTTTCATCACCTTGGAAAGAAACCCGAAGTCCTAAAGTCCCTAAAGTCCCGAAGTCCATTCACCACCTTCCCTCTGTCTCCTTTTCCATCCCAGCCCTGAGCAAACAAGAATCTACTCTGTGTCTCTGTCGATTTCCCTATTCCCTGGATCCTTAAGAAAAGCCCTTCTGTGGTCCTGCTTTGCTTCCGTGTATAACAGGTTTTGCTGATTTTCCTCGTCTCTTCCGTCATGTGTGACTGGACCTGACTCATCAGAGCCCCTGACTTCTAGAAGTTACGTCATCTTGCTTTGAAGCCCGTGGGTTATAGCAGTGGTGGGCGGGGTTTCAGGGCCGTGGGATGGTGGTGGATATGGTCGTGCCTATAGCTTTTGACTTTCTCGTAGGACTAAAGTTGACGTTGGATTTAACTGAGGAACAGCCTTTTATGTCCCTATTAGCACAAAAACTGGTAATAAATACGGTTTGTAGATCTTATTTTTAGAGCCGTAATGGGGATTGTTCTCCAAGGAAGAACATCGCTGCTTATTACACCTTGAAAGCAGTGTATTTTTCCCGAATATCAGGTCCACCGCGTGGTAACAACGTAGGTCCTTCTCCAGCACAGTCTGAGATGACAACATAGAAGGGACTGGAAGGCTTGCCAGACAGCTAAGGGCACAAAACCAATTTCAAGGATCTCTTTTACAAGCCTACCTCTGCTCTGTTGTTCTATTGTCGCTTTAACGTAGGAGGACTTCTTGCTATGGAGTCTGTAACAGGTGGGCTGATTTGGAGACTGGTAAATAACATACTGTAACACTTACCTGAAACACAGCGGTTGGTCATTACATTTGGTTGTGCTGTAAATTGCATGTTCCTGTTTTTATTTTATTTTTTTTTAATTTTTTTTAACGTTTATTTATTTTTGAGACAGAGAGAGACAGAGCATGAACAGGGGAGGGGCAGAGAGAGAGGGAGACACAGAATCTGAAACAGGCTCTAGACTCTGAGCTGTCAGCACAGAGCCCGACGCGGGGCTTGAACTCACGGACCGTGAGATTGTGACCTGAGCCGAAGTCGGACGCTCAACCGACCGAGCCACCCACGCGCCCCTGCATGTTCCTGTTTTTAAAAGCTACCTATTTTTGTATGTGAGGGGAGACCCTTTAACATTGCATTTTGAAAGCAGTTCTCCATATTTGTAAATGGTGACATATACAACATAATGTCATGGCGTGGACTGACCCTAAAGATCTTGGAGGGTCTGCTAATTGATAATTTTATTTAGATCTGCTGTATCCTTATTTTTTTGAATGTTGGAACTGTGTGGGGGTGAGAGATACCTTAATTCTACTATTATTTTGTTTCTTTCTGTCTTTCCTGGGGCTATGGCTATTAATTTTTTTCTGCAATTTTTGCTTTGTGATCTTCTGATACCGTATTATTTGATTCATAAAGTATCTTTACTACAATGATACTCTCTAACTTAAAAAGGTCTCTCTTTAGTCTCATTTTAATTTTATTTTGCCTTCACGTCAACCTTGACCAATAAATGAGATGCTCATTCTTTGGTTATCATGTGTCTGGCTCAACATTTTTACTTCTAACCTTTCAGAGAGACTTTATTTCAGGAGAACATCTTTTGTATCTGTTTATCTTTGAGTCCAGTAATTTCATAAGGATATACCTTCTTGATCATTTCTTACGGGGCGTGTTGTCCATTTTTGACTTGAAGACAGCTGTTTTCTTATTTTCAGCTCTTTCCTCCTGATACTGTACTTACTTGAAGAGTTTTTTCTGTTCCCCCTTTGATGAGGATCTCACAGTATCTCAACAACTACAAAGTGTCCTCTTCCCATATCTGCCCTTTTGTCTCAACTCACTTCAACTTTGGTCTTGGCATTACTTTGTACTTCCTTTTGCTGGCCTTCTCTTCTCATCACCTATGTGATCTTTCAAAGAGGTCATAGATTATTCCCTGTTTTCAGGTCATTGCCTCATTCCAGCCACATTTTTCTGGGATGTATTTTTCATCAGCTCATTTGTGAGGTTCTGTTATGCTGTGTCTTCCTTAGCTTCTCTACTTGGGTCCCTCTCTAATTATTACCCATTTTTCCATGATCCCATTTCTGTCGACTTCACAAAGCATAGTGTTGTCAAGAACGGCCAGACATTTCAGTCAGAGTATGTTGCTAGTGATTATGAAGATTGGGTGCCAGTGATCATTAGTATAATAATATTTTTATTAATATGGAAAGATTCCACAATATTTTTAAATTAGAAAATGTGGGGCGCCTGGGTGGGGCAGTCGGTTAAGCGTCCGACTTCAGCCAGGTCACGATCTCACGGTCCGTGAGTTCGAGCCCCGCGTCGGGCTCTGGGCTGACGGCTCAGAGCCTGGAGAGCCTGTTTCCGATTCTGTGTCTCCCTCTCTCTCTGCCCCTCCCCCATTCATGCTCTGTCTCTCTCTGTCCCAAAAATAAATAAATGTTGAAAAAAAAATTAAAAAAAAATAAATTAGAAAAAGTATATAGATGCATCTGTATTTCTTTTCTGTTGACAAAAAATGGTTTGGCAGAAACAGATTAACATTGTTATTGCTTGAAGATGATTTTAATTTCCTTTCTTACAATTTTGTGAATAGTCATAACTCTAAAAATAAGGACAGTTTACTTTTACTATAAACAATGATAATGACACCATTTTAAAAAATGTTATCAAGCTGCAAAGGAAATAGAACTGTTTTCCTTTTTATTGGAGGCGTACGATGGGTTACGCGGGCTCTTTGTGATGAAAACGTTTATGGATGATTGACTTGGTACACTTGACTGAGGGTGAGGGTCTTTGGGTTTTGGGTTGGCTCAGTTCAGAATTGGACCCCATGTGAATAATTCTGTGTTTAGTTCACTGTTAGGAAATAAGTCACCCTGGCAGAATGTGCCAACACTGACCCTTTACTACCTATGGGTCTAAAACAAAAGGGATTAAAAACATCCGCTTTCTCTTTGTTGTAAATCTCAACAGTGAGCTCAGTATGAGGATCATCAATGTCTTCTCTCTGTGTTTTCTGGAGAACCTTAACCACTCTCGCTCTCGTTTGATTCCACTTCTTCCATTCCTGGGAGAAAGACCTTCATCTACAAAGCCACGTGTTGCCATCTAGTGGACCCTGTGTGCATTGCAGCTCCCCTCAATTTTTAAACTACCAAGGACTCTGAAGATGATGGCAATAGGGGATATACGTAAACCTGTAACTGTAACATAATTCCCCAAACCCGACAGTCATCACAGGGAAATAAACTTAGGCGCATGACAACTGACTGACCGACTTACCCGGAAGTGCATAGCTGGTCAGGGACAGAACCGGGTGCCGTCTTCCAAGCCTCGCATTCCTACGAACCGTGAGCAGCCCCTGCCTTTGCTTTCTCTGCATTTCCTTCTCGTCCCCGTCCCCTTTGTAAATCACATCTGCCCTTTTGGGTCAATACAAATGCCATCTCTTACGTGAAAGACTTCCCTGTTGATTTCACGTGGACTGGATTCTCCCCTACGCACTGCTCCCTTTTCCTATTTTGCTTTTTACGGAAGACACAGAACTACATTTTGGGGAGGCAGTTATGTATTACATTTATTACAGTATCCCAGGTGAGAGAACAGGGAATCTTTATGGCCCATATAGAGAACCTCTTATCATTCACGATTCACCTTCTGGTCCTGTGACGGCTACTCTAGAATACAGCCACCAAAGAAAAGCAACCATGAGGCCTTAAAGCAGGCAATTTTAGAATAAGGGTATATGTGCTTTAATTCTTTGTACAGAAGTTTGGCATCCGACATAGTATTATTTGTTTGAGTCTAAAAGAAATGCTTCCTTTGTTTATATCTTTAAAATTATAACACTTGTTCATCCAAAACATAATAGTTTAAAAATTTCAGTAAATTCACAGATGGTAGGTTTTTGATGAACTATTGAAGATCTTGGGGGTACATTTCTAACTTTCTGAAGATGCCCTAGTGAATGTTCACTTTCTCAGTAGTTATCTGCCTAGCACTCCTCCCCTTTCCTCACATCTGTTCCCCAGTGAGCCAGCATCGTCCCACGCCGTCTTCTCTTGTCCCACACCTTCTCCGGCCACACAGCCTGGCTCCAGATACCCTTCATGCTGGGCGTAAGAATTGCTCAGGTTTGGGGCGCCTGGGTGGCGCAGTCGGTTGAGCGTCCGACTTCAGCCAGGTCACGATCTCGCGGTCCGTGGGTTCGAGCCCCGCGTCGGGCTCTGGGCTGATGGCTCGGAGCCTGGAGCCTGTTTCCGATTCTGTGTCTCCCTCTCTCTCTGCCCCTCCCCCGTTCATGCTCTGTCTCTCTCTGTCCCAAAAATAAATAAACGTTGAAAAAAAATTAAAAAAAAAAAAAAAGAATTGCTCAGGTTATATTCTTAATATTTTCTGTTCTTT